CACACACACACGCACACACATGATTATGCATGTACCTATGAACGCAGGTGCACGCGCACACACACATACACAGACACACACAAACTCACACACTCACACACAGACACACACACAAACTCACACACACACACACACACACACACACACACACCCATGTTCACATGCTCATGCACACATACACACCTGTTGGTCTATCTTTGTTTTTGAAACCTTAAGTATAATTTATTGAATACTATTTGAATACAAGATATATCAGACCACGTGATCCTTCTGAAAGCAGAAAGGGTACTATACCTGTCTCTCTGCAAAAAATACCCCAATCTTTATGAAATTTTCAGCACAGTGAGAAAATTGAGCATGTCACTTGCATAAAATGGCACTCTTGTCAGATCTACTGTACATTTTTCAAAAAATGTCACTCTCATTGTTGTGAACAAGCTGATTTCGACGCTCAAAGACCATGCAAACCATTCAGGAAGAAAGGTCCAACTTTAACAAGTGTGTATGAAAAAAAGGAGATCATTGCTACAACTTCCTTGTTGCTATATTACATCATCAGCGATCAGTGTCCCATGGGTGTAAAGTGTTAAATTTTGAGCCTCCCTCGCTTGTTTCAACAGGGTCCAAAATGCCCAGGTTTTTTTTACGTAGCCAGTTGGCATCCCTTGTAAACATAAGAGTTTTGTAAATCCACCAGACACGTCTTGGTAATTCTAACTGCTTTATCTTATCCTTAATCTCTGTACGTTTCAGAGCAAGCTGAAGAAGTTCCCTGGCTTGATGCACTTCACCTTGAGCTGGTACTTCCGGAACATCCTGGGTGTGGTGTCTGCCACCGTCCCTGCGGCACTGGTCTACGTCAGCCTGTCATGTGACCTGGTCGTCGATGACAACTGGCATGACCGCTTCTTCTGCTTCGCCCTGGTCGTCTCCCTTCTCGGCTTCTGCAACTACGTCATGCTTCGCTCCTTCCTCAAGAGCTTCGTGGCCATCCTGGTGGGTTCGATTCTCATCGTGCTGTTGTTCATCCACCTGTGCTCGGATCGCTGGGCGCCTCTACCGTCCACCTCCTCTGTGGGTGGTTCCACCGCTCCTCTCCCGGGGATCTCCAACATCTCGTCCACGGTCGCCTCGTACATCCTCAACTCAACCATGAACAGCACTGTCCTCCCCCCACCCTCTCTGTTCATCATGCCCATCTCTGACCATCTCTTCTCCGGGGAGAACCGTCTACGGTTTGAGATCATCCTCAGCATCCTCCTGCTCCTGCTGCTGGTGATCATCCTCAACTTTGAGTTCGAGAACTCGTACCGGCTGAGCTTCAACGCCAGCATCAAGGCTCAGAAGGACAAGGAGAACATGCAGCTCAACAAGGACCAGGCGGACTGGCTCCTGCACAACATCATCCCAGCTCACTTGGCCGAGCTGTTCAAGACCAACCGCAGCTACTCCCGCAACCACGCGGACGTCGGGGTCATCTTCGCCACCATCGTCAACTTCAACGAGTTCTATGACGAGATGTACGCCGGGGGCCGCGAGTACCTTCGGGTGCTCAACGAGCTGGTCAGCGACTATGAGGTCATGCTCAGCGAGAAACGCTTCAAGGACGTGGAGAAGATCAAGACCATCAGCTCCTCCTTCATGGCGGCCGCGGGCCTGAACGAGGAGAGCCGGGCCCAGAACAAGGACAAGTACGCCCACCTGTACGCCCTCATGGAGTTTGCCATGCAGCTACAGGAAGTTGTGGACAACTTCAACGCCAGCATCTTCAACTTTGACTTTGTGCTCAACATCGGCTACAACTTCGGCCCCGTCACGGCTGGTGTGATCGGGACCACCAAGCTGCTCTACGACATCTGGGGAGACACCGTCAACATTGCCAGCAGGATGTACTCCACAGGGGAGGCAAACCGCATCCAGGTGCCCGAGGCTACTGCTGATCTCTTGGCGCCCATGTTTGAGTTCTCCTACAGAGATGAGATTGCTGTGAAGGGCAAGGGCACCATGAAGACATATCTACTGGAGAAAAAGAGAGACGGCGCTCGATGGGATTAGATGGGGGGAAGTACAAGAGGGAAGAAGAAGATTCAAGTGCTCTGATATAAAAGAATAGACAATAGTTCAGATAAGTAGGCCTGCCAGAAGAAACTGTTAATCACAATCTACAGTTCAGCATTCAAGGCCTGTGTGAGCACAGAGTTTCAAGGGAGCTAAAATTTCTGAGATGACTTTATGATTTTGCACATCAGTGTGATTTTATACCAGTATTGAGTGGGGACAGACTTTCCTGATTGAAAACCCCCCCCAGCATAATAGAATGATTTTTGAGTCTCTGAATGTTTTGGAATGCTCAATAGCTTGGTGAAAGTTGCGATGATCAATGGGAGTAGCAAGAGATATTGAATGAAGATGTGTTGGGACATTATTTTACTTTTTATATCTAGCATCATCACCATATAGTAGAATCATGTCTTTCATAGTAAGACTTGAGAAAGAGAGAGCATCAGAAACTGGAAAAGGAAAAAATACTGATCCCAGTGGAAAAGCAGTCTGACTGAAGTCTTTATAAAACAAAGGAGTGTGTGATGATAGGTGTGACTCTGAACTGGCCACTGACTATGAAAAATAAAGTGTTTGTATCGAATTTGTAATATGAAGTTCAACTCTTACGTTTATTAAACAAAAACTGAAGAATTGGCGTTTGCGTGCTAAGCTCCAACGGCCCTGATTCATTTTGCCTGGCTGTTGTCCTGGTCCTGAGTAAATGGAGATGTGAATGGGGTTTTTAGACTTAGGTAGAATAAGTATTCAGGTTTTGGAAGTTTACTATATCCTATCAAAATCGACTTGCTGTCACCTTGTGTCACATCTCGTGGAGCTGAAGTGAAGCCGGTTTGTAGTTTTATTGACGGTGCAAATGAAATTGAGCTTTGGCACTTACAGCGGCAGGTGGCGATCATATGTACAGACTATCCCAACCACAGCCACAAGCAAAAAGGTCTTTTACTTCTGTCCCCCTCATTATTTTCAGTAAATGTTTCAAAGGGACATAACACATGGATCAGGGGAAAAAAGAGCCTAAAATGTGAGATTCCCCCCCTTTTTTACCCCTCAATTTACTATAGTCTTCAACTTGATGTCACCCAGTGTTACCTTTTATTGTTGCTGGTAGAGGCACACTTGATCTTAAGCTGGCTAATTGGTTTTTATTCTTGGAATCGTGAAGTTTTCATTCTGGGTTTGTTTTCTAAATGCTAAAAAAACTTTCTGTGTAACGTTTTACCTGTTTGCTGTTTTTGGCTTCCTACTACATGTAATTAAACTTGCCTTAATTAATTTCGAAATGTTTGTCATCTTTTCTGTAAATGTAAACAGAGTTCTAGCCTTGTACTTTACTTTTACTTTTTCCATTTTCTTGTAAAGTTAGATGTCAAGAGAGGTGCAATTTTGGGTCAAGGGCTAAGTGCGTAGACTCTGTCATAGACATGTTATTCTGTTTAAGGACCCAAGTTTTTTTGTGTGGTCCTCTAATATCTCGGAAATAAAGAAAGCTGATTTGCCACTGTCATCTCAATTTTACATGGCTGACAGATGAAGGATAAGGGGTTCCAAGGTCTGTTTTATCATAAATTATATTAACTTTTTAGCATTACTATGGAAATCGTTCGTCTCGGACACATGTCATTATAACATCAGAAACACGCACAGGGAGAAGTGGGAAGTGGTTGTTTGTACAGGTGATTGTCTTGGGAAGGTGGCCATTAGAATTAGAGCAGGTTCGACTGAAATAACGTTTTAGCAATGATATGTTGAAGAGCAGCCAATGGAGAGCAGAGCACCCTTGCCGTGAGGCAGTAAGAGAGTAAAGACTTTCCACCGTTTCCAGTCGTTTATGTCCTTGAGAATGGTTTCAGATTTTATGATTTTTGCCTCAAGTTCTGGAAAAATTGTAAGCTGTCAAGTTTGTCGGTTTTAGAAACCATTAATACATTGTCAGGGAGAAAAAGTTTTACTTATAATCCTCTTTCACCTTTTCCCCAGTTTTGGATGCATTTTGCTTCTTTCGTTCCGTTTTTTGTTTTGGTTTTAGAGGTCACTTTATTTTGGAGTAGAATGTACAGTTTTAAGAGATATTTACCCAGTTTTCTTCTGTAGTTTGAGATGTGTATGTGTGTGTTTGCATTCACAGAGCTGTCCGTAACAGCCAGCCAATGATGCCATCACTTTCTCTTCCATTCTTGTTAAAGCCTACACATTGTAACATGATTTTTTTAAAGGTATTGTCCAGATTTAATAAGTAATGAATAGTTTGGTGCTCAAAGCCTGCTAGATTTTAATAACCTAAAACCAAGAAGACGACAGTTGTCATTGTTTAGGGGGGAGGGTGGGGAGGAAGGGTTTGGGGGGGGGTGGATTTGAAATGAATGTTGCCTTTATAACTTTGAAGTGAAAGTGGAGACTCGATGTTAAAATAGCGTTGTGCAAAATAGCGTTGTGCTTTTATTCTATTCTAACGAGAAAAATTTGGAACCTACCTTTTTTAAAAATGCTTTCTGCATGCTGGTGTACTGTTTCTAGCTACCAGGATTACCGTGTTGGCTACCACCCATAGGTTATCTCTGGGTAGGATGTTTTTGCAAAAGTTCCTGAGAGAAATTTGTTCTCCTTCCACTTTTTCTCTTTTTGATCATGTGTCTTCATATATCTGTCGTTCTTACTTTTACATGTGGATTCAACAGGACTTTTAAAAGTAGACGAAAACCTTTTTGATTGTACATTTTTATGGAAAGTCCTTGTCTTACGCAGTTGTTTTGTCTTTTGATGGGAGCTAACAAGTTGAAATAATGGTTTGTATACTCACATACACTAAGTACTTGAGGTGCTCAATTTTTTTTTTTTAACGGCTGTTCAGTTTGCTAAGCTGCTCATATGTACATGTTCAGAGTTAGTTTCAGTGATTTTGCATCATGATCAACTTTGATTGTAAGAGTGCATTTTTTAAACTTAGAAATTCAGTATGGCTGGCAACACATTAATCTTTTTAAGGTAAAAAAATCTGTGAAATTTGAATGTGCAAAGGTGCTTGATTGCTATGTAGAATTTGTTGAATCTTGATGAGAAAGAATGATGTTGGTGTTATTCTGCTTCAGTTCAGTTTCATGCTGAAGAAAACTAATGGCAGTGATAGGAATTCTGAAGGGTCTTTTGTACCACTGTGTGTGCGCATTTGCATGTCCATTTGTGTGTTTCTTGCATGTGGATATTTCTATGCGTGAGTTATTTTATAGAATGTTTCTGGCAGATATGAATGGAGATTTTAATTTTTTTTAAAGATTTTTACGAACTTAGTGCCATAGGAGAACTGTTCCAGAAGTGAATATATACACTTTGATAGGTCTAATTCCCAGTTTGGGCCTTGGTTTTATTCTTTACTTCCTCTCATAGTTGTGAAACTGACCAACCTCTGCCATTTTCTGTGAGATCGTCCAGAAAATTTTTTTGCATGTAATTTTCCAGCATTTCAAACTATTTCCATCTCAAAATTTTGATATTGATTATTCATAGTGTTTTTGAAAATAACTAAGACGGTACTTCATTTTTCATGAATTGCTCTTGGTTCCGATGGATAGAGGAGGAAAGGGTGTATTTGTGTAAATGGCAGACGATTGTTTCTTTCTTTTTTTGTTGTTGTTATGACAGTTTATTTTTGTTTGGAACAGGGCACAGCGGCGTAGAGCCATAACCTGGATTGCTCAACAGAATTGCTGGTCAATTTGCTAAGATTGTAGTGGGGATGAAAGAAATAATTCATGTGGTGCTGCTCTGGAGATCCAGCCTGGTTCTCAGACAGCATGTGTCTCCTTCTCTTCTGCTCACTCAATATGACGCGCAGGAATTACCTGCAGGAAAAGCTTTGCAGCAATCAGTGTCTATAGTAGTTTTTACTAGTGTGTGACTCGCTGAGTGACGACTACACATTTTTTATACCTGTGTTCTTGTATATATTATGTGTAAGGGATTTTTGTAATGTTAGGACTTCTCTTTAATCAGTAACTTTTAGTGAATCACTTTTCTCTTTAACATTCATATTAGTGCTGGTCCTCAACCTTTTGGATTCAAACTTCAAACTACTCACCTAGAGAAACAATGTTTTGAGATAGTGAATAGCATATGGTGCCGGCAAGAAATTTGATGTTTTGAATAGGTGAAGGATGCAAATTTTGGGCAAGTCCACAAATTCCAGTCAAGCGAACTATTTTGTTTGGAGCAAAATCACTCTGATCCGTAAATCTATAGATATTTGATCCTATCTTTATCACTAAAATATAAGCAAAGCTTTACACAGTCAACATTTACATCAACATTTATTGTATCCCTTGTAAATGTGTACATATTGTAATTTTAGATCAATCTTTTGTTAGACCTTCATTTGTTTTTCTTTCTAATCATTTCTGAATTGAATTTATGAAACCATTTGCCTATCTGAAATGTGATCCGTTGAAGCACACAGCTTTCAGCACCTTACCAGTAAACCTGATGTTACTGGACATGTGAACGTTTTTATTTGTTCTCTCTTGTTCTTTTTGTAAAGGTTTGTTTTTTTGTGTGAAGAGGAACTAGTGCTATTTCCTTGATCTGAGATGTGTGTGTGTGTGTGTGTGTGCGTGTGTGTGTATGCGTGCGTGCTCCTGCACACGCGCATTATTGACAGGGATGCGTTAGTTAATCTACAATAAAAATTGTCCAAACATCCTCCCGCTGTTGAGGAGAAAAGTGGTTGTCTTCGCCAGGTGGGCGTTTTGAAGTGTCATCATTACAATATTTTTAAAACGCGTGGGGAGAAGTGGAAAGTGGTCATTTGTCCAGATGATTATCTTGAACTGGCATCTGCTGAGCCGATTTACTGTATTTTTTCTTTTCTTATGGCCACTATGCTAACCTAAGCTGACAAAACGCCTTTTTTTCTCTTTTCGCACCAATTTTTTTTATTTGCTAAATCGATAGTTTGATCAGTTACCCTACTTGTGTGCAAAAAATCGAAGCGAACTTGTGAATAGTTTATTTTTAAAAAAATTAGCATTCAATTTTTCAGAAGAACACCTTTATGAAATGATTATATTGACAAAGCACCTTTTTATC